GTTATAGAGTGTAAACTAACGCTTCTGCTATCAAACCTAACCAGAAGTCTGCTAAGATGATCACAGTTTTCTGAATTTGTTTCAATAATTGGCTTTACTATAACAATTACTAAAGTATTTTTGTAGTTTGTGATTTGAATTACTATAATTTTTCATTTGTTACCTCTATTACATCACTACTAAAGTCTACATTATAATTCCATGAATATATTATGCTTAATCTAATACAACGAGTGTATATTATAAGCGCATCTATACAATTGCAATTAAATTACAGTCGATCCCCCCTATACCACTATTGATAATTCCGTTTTATATGAATTCCGTGTTGTACGAATCACTTAGATTTTACAAATACGTGAGCCGTTCACATCCCGGCACACGTATTTATAAAATCTAAGTGACTCGTACAACATGGAATTCATATAAAACGGAATTATCAATAGTGGTATACGGGGGTCGACTGTATTATTCATTTATAAAATAAAGTTAAAAATATTATACGTTTAATTATCGTAGAATGTGGATTTAAGACATTTCATAATAATGACGAAAATTTGCAAATTTAATTATTATTTGTTACAATTCTTCTCAGTTATTTTGTACGTAATTAGTATGGTTGATAATTAGCAACATTAATTATATGAGAAGACGATTATAAGATATCCTCTCGGGATAAAAATAAAAAAAAAAAGACAGAGAAATCAAGAGTAGGAAGTATTTAACCTTTGAGAATAACTTCGAGACTTCTTCCTATAAAAAAAAATAAAATAAGATGATATTTACCTGAAGGGCTCATAGTTTTGACGGAAAAACTAGTGGCAAAGTTATCAAAAAAAAGTTAAAAAAATTGATTCCCTCCGGATAAAAACTATTTTTTTTTTTTTCACACGAAAGCACTTCAACTAAAAAATAATAATAATAATAATCTTTCAAAAATTAAATCAATTTTTCTGATTTTAAATCTTTAGAAGATTTTTAAAAATTATAAATTTGCAATTTAAAAATATGTATAGCCACTTAACACATTCCAAATCTTATATATAAATTTATAATATAATTTTTTTTATGGTGGAAATAATCCTTACGAGACGTTTGCGGCTTTTAAATGATAAAAAAAAAAATAAAGCATTTATAATGCTAAAAGGTTTTTTATTAAGGTTGTGGATTTATACGATATCAAATAACAATAGATCATGACTATTAAAACAATAAATTATGATTCACTTCGTGTCACATATACCGTATCTCACATAATCATTCTTTTCACTTAAGACACTTGATGTGATCGGAACAATATAAGAGCATTTCGGATAAAGTCCGAACAATATACAACATATTAGAAACAACAATTGTCAGAAAGAAGAAAAAATAACCTGGAAGAAACGAGTGAAAAAATATAACATCTATCACAAGACAGTTTTTTTCAAGAAGCTTTTTTTAGTGGGTCTAAATGAACAAATCGTTATGTTATATCTCTAAAAGTTTGCTGTAGGAATATATTTTCATTACTAATAAAAATTATTATGACATTTTAAATCGTATTTTTAATTTATTTCATTTAAAATATACACTCTCGATTTTAGTAACGTCTTGCCCCTGTAAATCATACTTTTCCTGTAAACAATAGAGTCATGCTGGCAATCTATTAACTGTTTTCTAGATTAATTAAGAAAAAAATCAGATAGACAGTAGGAATTTATAGGTCTAGAATTTTAAAATTAATTAATTAAAGCCGAATAATAACTTATAAATTATTTTATTTAATAAAAAAAAGAAAACTATTTACTGGTATGCATTATAAAATTACATTTGCCATCTCAGCAATTTACCATTGATTTTGATAATATTTGCAAACTTACATGTGTAGAATCTTATTTATATGAAGATTAATAGATCAATCTTCCGCTTTAATTTGTTATAAATATCATTAAAATTATTAAGCTTCCTATTTAGTGTTTTAAATCTCTGTTTAACATAAGATTACAATACAAACATATGGTAAATTGAGTAAATTTAAGGTTATACGTGCATACTAACAATCAATATAACTGGAGTTGTATATATATATATAAACTAATATAAGAAAATGGATTCTGTCAAAACCTAAACGAAAAGTAACAAGAAAATTCTAAGTTTTTTTTAAAAAAATTAATTTGTTACTTTTCCATTATTTTTGAAAAATACACACAAATATATATATTGTAATTGAAATTTCATATTGTAATATAAATAGGAATCTTTTTCATATTCAGAAAATAGATTCCTTGAAAGAACTAGAAAAATTTGATTACATTAAAGAAATCTGTCTGCCTTTATTTCGTTCAAATTCCCTTTCTTTTTTTTAAATATTCGTGCTTAGAGTCACGAAATATGCGACTGAGCTAGCTGATGATTGGAGGAGATTTTAATAGATTCTTTGTGAAGTTTTTTTTTTCTCAGATTAACTTCTGACGTGTGATAGTTATTTTACTTATAAAAATATTTTAACTCGGTTGAAAAATTACAGAATTCAAAGAGAGAAAACTTGGTCTTATATATGTATACAGTATTATAGTTTCCAGTCGTAGAATTCCTTTCGAAAACAGCCGGTGAAAACCGACCAGTTGAAAATGTAATTACATAACCTGCCACTTAAGTTATTTAGTAATTAATGTTTCAATATTCCATAGAAACTGTTTGCAAACTAGTTTGAATTTATTATATTCTTAACCATTTTGTGTTAAATATTTAAAATTTTAAGTTATTAAGTTTTGCTTATTTGATAGATTGATCCATCAGTTAAATTATCTGTCCGAATGAAAATACCCTTACTTGTTTTAATTAAACTTTATTGCAGTTATTGATCTCTTTAAATCCTAGTAACTGAAACTTATTTTCAATCCTTCGATATAAATGAGGCTTTAAGTGCATTCTCTCGACTGTAATCTAATCTTGTCTCCCTTGTTAATTAAGTACATTCTTCTTAAAAAGTATTGCATTGTATTCTCCTAGTAAAGATTACACTTAGTTGTCCTGGTTAATTTAATAATTCTTATATAATCTTAATTTAATACAAATTATTATAACGCCTTTCCTTCTTCTACTAAATTATAAAACTTGTCTGTTTTACAGTATAAATTAGTACACATGTAAAATATCTTTATAACAAAGCAATGTTTCATGAAGCTTTCACGAGTTACAATGGCTACACAGATGATAACTGCATTCAATATCCAGAGAAATATCCGAAACGGACAATGATAATTATTACAATTGATCATAGTAAATCCATTTAGATGGCCCCCATTGTCAAGATTTAGGCACGCTAGTATCAGTTTTCTAATATGTCAGCTGTCAATGACTTCCAGTAATCATGAAAAATGAGGGAAAAAGTATTGCTCATCAATTTTAATTACTACTACGCGATAATAGTGTTAGGTATCAATTTATATATTTTACACGACTTTTTCTATCTTAATAAATGAAAATTAAGATAGGAAAACAATAGTTTTTTTGATAGAAACCATCTTAAGTTCTAAGGAAAGAGGACATTGCTTCTATATTTATATAAAGAAAGAAACAATAGAAAAATATAAAACTAATTTAAAATAAGAATATATTTTATTCATTTACAAACAATTTCCTCTTGAAATACAAAAATAAAAAATTCCAATTCTTTGGAGAAAAACTACAACCTTTTCATTTATTTATTTACAGTTATTCGATTTGTGAACTCCTAAAAATTATTATAAATTCTTTATTAAATCGACTACTTCACATGCTTAAAGTAGAAAATGTTTAAACATTTTAATTAAGTATATATTTAAGTTTATGTTGTATTGTATGTACAGTACATCTACCGAGTTCTGTTAATGTAATGGCCAATCGTTCTAATATTCTGTTAAACTACATATAATTTAACCTATATTAAATTATATTTTACAATTTCGATAACAATTCATTGGTAAATCAAGTAAATGTAATTGTCCTGGTATATTAGGAAAACTTGTAAATGTCAAACTAAATGAGAGTTTTCCTGTATGTTAGTATGTGAGGGGACGATTTTGTTCACTCAATTTGAAGCTAAATAACTCCTGTGACTTTTGTTGAAAATTTATGAAATTTTGTAGGGTGGTTCGTGTATTAGGGGGGAATGTTTCTAGAAATTTTCAGGAAAATTGGATTATCGGTTCGGAAAATATGGCCCACCCTCTTAATATCTCCCGAACCAATCCGAAGATTAATGGTAGATAATGGTGATAATTATTAGAGACGAAAACAAAGAATGCTGAGAAAGTCCAGAAACAACAACTTAAATAAGCAATGTAAACAAAGCAATTTTCAAAAGTACATTGCCCCGAAAGACTTCTAAGATCAACAGGTATAATCATCGTAGCAATACAAACTGTTCTAAATACCAAAACATCGTTAAGTTCCATCGTTACGAATTTTTGATAGGCGGAGCGGAACTAAAAGGAAAAGATCCCGAGACAGATAGAAAACATTGAAGGTTGAAAAAAAAAAGAATACAGAAAGGAAAAAGAATCGAGTAGAACGTAAAGTAGGAGATAAACATCATATCGAAAAGAAGTTCTTTTCGGATTAGAGTTCGAAGATAACCAGCGTACAATCTTCCCATTTTTTCGAATAAAATAGGAAAAAAAAGGAGGAGGAAGAAAGAGAGGATAATATTTATGAGAAGAAAAGAATAGAGTAGAAAACTCCAGTTCAGTTTTCCATCTCTTTATGGTATGTTACGAGCAGCGAATTGTGTTCTCTTCTATTGTAAGTAAATCTTACACGCAGTACCATAACTAGTTCTTCCTGTGAAAAATTTTATTTTTGATCTCCTTTTTATTGAAAAAAATATATATATATATATATTGGTTTTGTTTATATTTTATAACCGGTTTTCTGGTATCAGTGGCGCGTTATAACTACATGGGGCCTATGGGAAATTAAATTACGGAGACCCCATGTATTGTACTTTAGATATTTTTCTCGGGAGAGGAAATATTGGGGCATCCTATTGGTTGGGAGGTCCCAATCAATCGCCTCTTTCGCCATTAATTTTAAAGATTTCTTACCTCGATAATGTCACTTATCAGGGAAAATCTGAAAGGCCAATCGATTTTAATTCCTTCGTTCGATAACAATTCCTGAATATTTTGTAGGAAATTAAATATTAATCAGTTTTAAATAAAATTATCGACAGGGGAAAAAAATATATATATTTATTTATTTACTCGTAAACTTCCTCTTGGACTAAATTCAGTTATAAGAGCAATGTTAGGTTCGTCCGAGCAAAAACCGATAAAACGTATCAAATTCTCGTGTGTTACGTCACGAAGCTATAATAAATTAAATATTTAAAGAAAATTATATTTTCCATTAACAAAACTAGATGGCAGCACATAATATTAACTTTTTTTTTAATATTACAGTAAAAACGTGTGTCATTTACCTGTTTAAATTCGAGGAGAAGATTCCTAGTTATGTGCAATTTTCGGATGTTTAATGGCTTAACCGCAACTTTCATTCCCTGTAATTTTTTTTTTAAATTAATTATTCATAAGAATTAATAAATATTCGAATAAAAAAAACCCGAATTTTAAAGGTTATATTAGTCGGATAAAAAGGCTTTATATACCTTAAAATATCCAACGGACATTGTTTTTTTATAATTAAGAATTTCTACGCTTCCACTAACGTCATCTTTCTGTATAAATAAGGCAAGTTTTTTTTAGAAAAAAAAGTAATCAATGGATANATGAAAAATGAACGAATTATTTATTGGATATTCCAGTAAAAACCTGTCTAAAATGGTAAAAATTCTTCTGAATGCGGAGATTTTCTAACTTTTTTTTTTTAACCTGTTAAAACGGAAACTTGTCTAAGCGAAAAATATATTTGGTACCGTCCGGTTTACACGGGTATAAAGTATTTTCTTAGTTTTCCTTTTTTATTATTATTTTTATTTATTTATTTATTTATTTTTTGGTATTGTTTGGTTGTAACAGCAAAGAGCATTGTTGAAAGCTTTGTTTCCTTTGTTGCGCTTGTCTTTCTCTCTCTCTCTCTCTCTCCCTTCTCTTTGCTTGTTATATCTTTGTATTTTTTGCTCATTTTGTCTCTATTTGATAAACTGTTTGTCTGATAACAAAGATCGATTTACTTATTTTGAGTGTATAAATAATGTATACAATTTAAATACAATAAAACCTGTGTAAACCGGACTCGTAAGTTACCGAATATTTTTCCCGTTTAGACAGGTTTTACTCTATATATATATATTTAAATCAATAGAAAAATAAATAGATAAATTATCGATTCAGTAGATAAAATCAATCAAAGTATTTACCTTTACTTCTATATCTCCTCTCAAAGTTATGTTAAACGAATGGAAATGGTCTAAAATATTCTTGGTTTGATAACTAATATGAATTTTCATGGCTAAAAATTTAAGAAAATTTATTAAAACTTTAAAAAATCGGATTGAATATTCGTCTAAATAATGAGGAAATATAAACTAAAATTTAATAATACAGTAAAACCTGTGTAAACCGGACTCGCACGGTACCGTTTATATAAATTTTACTGTATTTTTTTTTTTCTGTTTTAGTCAAGTGTCCGTTTTACACAGGTTTTACTGTATTACATTAAAAGTAAATTTACTTAGATTTTTATTATTTATTTAACAATAAACGTATATAATGTATACATTTTAACTTAGATTATGAATAAGAAATCTTTTAAAGTTTTCTAAAATAGCCACGGTTATAATACAACAATATAAACGTCTTTGTGATCTGATCTGGTAAATGATCGATTGCTATTGTCAGTAGAGTCGACGTCATAAGCAAAGCAAAATAAACAATAGACGAAAGCTGTACCAAGATATGCGACTATCTTCAGTCGATAAAGGTGAAATATGAGTTTCAGCATTAAAACTTATTCAATAAAATTCAACATAGTTGAATATTTTGAAAAATTTATAAATAATTCTCGTATTATTATTATTATTATTATTATATGAAAATTTAAAAACTGGTCAATATTTAAATACAAAAGAGATTATCGAAAGATACTTCTTTTCTTTTTCTTTCTAAATTTTATTCAATATATAGCCCTATTATACTTTAATTAAAAGAAAATCTAACAAACAATGCATATTAGTGGAATTATTATTATTCTTTTAATTAAGTCTTTTTAAAAGTCAAAGAAGATAAGATCTAGCGATTTTTAGTAATAGAGATCTTTTGATATCTCTCTCTCTCTTATCGTTAAATTAACATTGTCCACTGGTAATACAAGAGATTATTCTTTTGATTAGTTTCTCTGGAATAATTCCTCCTTTCTCTAAAAATAAATCTAATCTGAAAACGGTGCTTATCGGTTACACAATGGAGTATGTGAAATCTTCGATTTTTTTCTTTCCCTTTCCTCTCAATTTTCATAGGCATTAACACATTAAATCTTAACCATTTTCAAACAATACAACAATAATTTTTGTCGGTGTAATTTCTTTTAACAGCTCTCACATTTATTGTTTTATCGTCCGGTAATGATCTAATTGCTAGATTTTTTTCCTTCTTCTGTCGCTTAAAGAAAATAAAATTTGTGTCGCCATTAAAGACATAAAAGCAAACAAAGTGAACAATTTGATGTGAATTTTTAATAAACTTGAGTGAAAACTTTGGCACACGTTTTTAAACAATGGAAACTTTCGTTTGAAAATTACAGTAATTAAAAATGTATAAGAATTATGATTGGGGTATAGATTTAAGGCCCTGTATCTAATCATAATTTTTGCAAAAATTATAATTAAAAGCTACTACAATAGTAAATTTCCAAGCCGGCTATTAACCGTCAATTGCTACTTTATATCACCTCAATTAATAAATTGATAAGGACGATACTAATTGTGTTGTTTTGTTAATCGACTGAAAATTGTTTGATATAACGTAGTCAATAATGACTAGCCAAAGCAGAGATTAAACACGTTATCCGTTCGCTTAAATTAATGCACTCGTATAATGTTATCTTCTAATTAAATTCTAATCCTTCCCCGTGTTTATTTGTGTTGTCCACTATAATAATTTTCAATTAATATAGAAGCGAATATTTTCGATGTTCTATAACATAGATTGTTTGTAACTTGTTTAAGTGTAACTTCAATATATATTACTTCTTATTTTATGTAAAAATTCGAGTAATACCTTCTCCACTTGTTTCCATTCTAGAAGCTGTGTTGACGGTGTCTCCGAAGAGACAATATCTTGGCATTTTCTTACCCACAACACCAGCAGCACACGGTCCTAAAAGTGTATATTTCAATTTTATTACTTTCCAATATAGATTTTTGCAACAATGCCAATGTTTTATTTTTATTTTATTTTACCTGAATGTATTCCAATTCGAAGTTGTAGTTTACGTTCGGGTTTATGGCGGATTTTGAATTGTTTAATGGCGCTTCTCAAAGACAATGACATTCGAGCAATTTGTCTTGCGTGTTCGTTTCCGTTTCTTTCGGGTAAACCCGAAACTACCATGTATGCATCGCCTATTGTTTCTACCTAAATCGGAAGTTCTATGAAATTTCCGGATAAAGGATATCGCGTATTCAAATAATTACTTACTTTATAAACGTCGTAATTTCCGATAATTGCATCGAAATAAGTATAAAGTTCGTTCAAAAGATCCACTATCTAAAATTAAAATTCCTATAATCGGGTACCTTTCAGAGGAGGTAAACGATAAAACATTATTAGAGGCCCCTTAATAATGTTTTTTCGCTTACTTAATTTCCCCAATATGTATTTTCCTCCAGATCCCATTACCCTTTTTAGGTGGCCCCCATTTATAAAGATATATATTTAATATTCTTACATCCATGGGCGTGCTTTCTGCCGAAAGATTAGTGAATCCAACGATATCACTGAAGAAGATTGTTACACAAGCAAAATTTTCTGGTCGAACGTGATGGCCCGCCTTCAATTGCTCTGCTACATATCTAGAATAAATGAAATATTTATTTTAAAAAGTATTATGTAAAAGTACAGGAGCAAGACACTACTAATACTTTCAAATCGAGAGCATATATTTTTTTAAATTAAATTCATTAAAAATTGTGACCAAGTCGCAATAATTCTTGCTGGTTGTTTAAATAATAAGAAGAAGGAATATGAAAATAAAAATAAGGTTTCATTATTATACTTCACATTTATAATCAATTATATTATTAATAAATGAAGTTAACTACATCCCATATATTTTAGAAAATTTTCCTCAGAATAACTGTTGTAAATTTATTAAATCTTATTAATTTTAATGTATGTGTGTGTTAAATTTATTTCAACATTATTAATTTTATTAATTATAATTAATTTATTTGCTTTTACCTGGAGAATTTTGCTTTCATCTTTGGGAGAATTTTATCGTGTTAACCGTATAGGTGTATCGAATGAAAAATAGACACAATAGGGCATTGTCTTCTCTAGGTGCCTCAAAAATTACACGCCTCGTAAACGTTTTATAAAGTGTATATTAAACAGAAAAAAAATCTTATTATTTATTGTCTTTTTTTAATACTGTACAAGTCGACCCCCCTATAAAACTATTGATAATTCCGTTTTATATGAATTCCATGTTGTACGAGTCACTTAAATTTTATAAATACGTGAGCCGTTCACATCCCGGCACACGTATTTGTAAAATCTAAGTGACTCGTACAACATGGAATTCATATAAAACGGAATTATCAACACTGTTATAGGGAGGTCGACTGGTATAAAGAAACACTTTTACGTAAAGGGTCTTATAGTAAACTTGCGCTTAGGGCCTTAAAGGAACACGTAATCCGCTACTGAATAACATGTATTACATGTACCGTAAAGTACCGTTTATTTATAAATAATAAAGTCATTATGATTCTAAAACAATATAACTGTTTATTGAGTGCATTCGTTAATAATTCGAAATGGCGATTATTAAAATTGAATAATGTTTTATTATCATTATTATTTTTTAAATGAGTAAATATTAGTCTATTTTTAAACGTTGAGACCAAGAAAATGTGAAGAGCACTATTGTTGAAAGGTTTTTAATCTGTAAAAGAACGAAACTAATTTACCTCGGTAATACTTCATATAATAATTCTTCGCTTTTCTTTTTCTCTTCTAAAAAAGCTTCTGTTTTCTCTTCAACTAATTGCTCTAAGTTATTAGCATATTGTTCCATTCTTGATAATAAATTATCGAGAAAATTACTGCTTCCCATACTTTCACGAAGAGAAAGAGAGAGAGAGAGAGAGAGAAAAAAGAAGTTTGTTCAAAGTAAATAGTAATTATTTATAAATATTCAAAAAATTAAATCAAAAAGTAAATTATGGTTTATATTTACAACGTTAAAAAAAGCGTTATAAAATAATATTTACAGTTTTGTTAATTTCTTTGTTTGTTGTTTGATGACGGAGAAAGTAGGACGATCTGTTGGATCCTCTTCCCAGCATTGATGCAGAAGTTCTAACAGCTCGGGAGGACATTCATCAGGAGAGACGTTAGGTCGAAAAGGAGGATCACTAACACTTTTTATACAATCTAAAACTTCTATTATGGGGGGAAAAAGAAGAAGATTTTATGTTCGATTCTATATATTTTATTTTTTTTTATAATTTTTGTGAAATTTATTATTGTTTTCTATCCCCTCCCTCTCTCCCTCCCATCCGAACCTTGAGGCTGTAAGGTGGAATATCGCTTCTTGGAAGTTGCTATTTTCTGAAAAGGACCTAGTCTAGTAATGATTTCTCTCAATACAATACCAAAACTATATACGTCTCCTTTCTGAGATCCTTTCATTTCTGATCGCTGTTCTCTTAAATGTTCTGGCGCTGTCCATAACAGAAGTCCTGGGATAAAGAAAAATAAATTTTATAAAATATCGATTTACTTTTCTACAATTCCAGTACGTTTTTCATTAAAAAAGAAAAAGGGAACAGTATTATTCCTTTGTGTTTTATATATATATATATATAGGAATAACATTACTAGAATTAAGAAATCGCTAATCAATAGTAAATAAATAAGCGTGTTTCGAAATCTTAAAGGAATATAGCGTAACAAATATAGATAATGACAAGCAAGTTATACGCGACCTTCTTAGTAATTTTACCTTAAAGCCCTCTTGTACTATAAATCAAGATCTAATACATTATAACTATCTTAGTTTAGGATTTACAGCGTCATTCTAATGATTGGTAAAGACCCTCTAGCTCGGCCCAAAGCTTCCAATTGGCCGTGTTAAAACGTCTTATATATATATTTTTTTCTTTTATTAGAAGTACTCAATCTTTCTCCATCAGATAAAAGTAATTTTAACTTTTACTCCATTTGCTATTCTTTTTTTTTTAAATGTTATTAACGTGGCATTCGGAATTTTCTTCTACCTATCGCCATTGAGATAAGTATGTTTATATTTAGATAATAAATTCTATAAATAAGACTTTAAGAGGTTTCAATCTCTGTATATTTTTTTTTATTTACACTCACTCGGATCAATATAAGTATTCGGTAAAAGTTGATCCAATAATGTTCGGAGACCAAAATCTGTCAGTTTGACTACAAACCTTCCATCAATGACACAATTGGTGGATTTTAAACGTCCATGATACGTCACAGGACTTTGGTGTAAGTATATCATCCCCTGAAACAAAAAAAAAATATATATATATATATATTGGTTTTGTTTATATTTTATAACCGGTTTTCTGGTATCAGTGGCGCGTTATAACTCCATGGAGCCTATGGGAAATTAAATTACGGAGGCCCCATGTATTGTACTTTAGATATTTTTCTCGGGAGAGGAAATATTGGGGCATCCTATTGGTGGGGAGGTCCCAATCAATCGCCTCTTTCGCCATTAATTTTAAAGATTTCTTACCTCGATAATGTCACTTATCAGGGAAAATCTGAAAGGCCAATCGATTTTAATTCCTTCGTTCGATAACAATTCCTGAATATTTTGTAGGAAATTAAATATTAATCAGTTTTAAATAAAATTATCGACAGGGGAAAAAAATATATATATTTATTTATTTACTCGTAAACTTCCTCTTGGACTAAATTCAGTTATAAGAGCAATGTTAGGTTCGTCCGAGCAAAAACCGATAAAACGTATCAAATTCTCGTGTGTTACGTCACGAAGCTATAATAAATTAAATATTTAAAGAAAATTATATTTTCCATTAACAAAACTAGATGGCAGCACATAATATTAACTTTTTTTTTAATATTACAGTAAAAACGTGTGTCATTTACCTGTTTAAATTCGAGGAGAAGATTCCTAGTTATGTGCAATTTTCGGATGTTTAATGGCTTAACCGCAACTTTCATTCCCTGTAATTTTTTTTTTAAATTAATTATTCATAAGAATTAATAAATATTCGAATAAAAAAAACCCGAATTTTAAAGGTTATATTAGTCGGATAAAAAGGCTTTATATACCTTAAAATATCCAACGGACATTGTTTTTTTATAATTAAGAATTTCTACGCTTCCACTAACGTCATCTTTCTGTATAAATAAGGCAAGTTTTTTTTAGAAAAAAAAATAATCAATGGATAGGGATTTACACGAAATTTATTGATTTACCTGAGTGATTTCTTCGACATTTATACTTGTCGAAGACTTAGTACTGGAGTGAGAAAATACTATTTCGTTCCATTTGACCTTCCACCACATGCTTGTTAAATCGGATTCGAGTTTCATTCTTCTGTAATGAAATTTGTTAAACGAGTTTTAAACTGGAAATAATTTGACACAAATAATTAATTAAAGCCAACGAATAATAAACTGAAAACGTAAAAAGAATAATAATAATAATAATACCTGTATAACAGTAAACCGATAACAACAATGGCAATAGCGACGACTCCTAAAATTCCCAAAATTGAAAACGGTTCTGAAAAATTAAAAAATGTATTTTCGATTGCTTTAATATACCGTAAAACCTGTCTAAAACGGAACGGTAACCTGAGATATTCTTAAGAACACGGCGATTCTTGTATTAAGTTCTGATGTATTCGGGGGATTAAGAAAACAAACGATTATTCAGATGAATCGCGAGTGTTGTAACATGAATACACGCATGAAATACGCTGATGAAGATTTCATTTTATGGATCTACGAACAGACTTGTTAAATATTAATTTGTTTCGATTAATATATTACCGTTTAATTGACATTCCGGATCGTTTCCAATAAATCCACAGATGGGTACGTCTAGAGGAGGCGTGTTTTGTCCATTTGGCCAAGAAATAAAGCGCGATTGTATCGGTATCAGTATTTGCTGGATTCCATAATAGTGTATGACAGCCTGAAATAGAAGGTCAAAAGGTTTGCTATACCAAAACTTAGCCAATCTTCTCGAGTCAATGATAAATCGCTTCCAATAAAACTTTTACTTCAAACAACACTAACTCAGTTTAATCTATTTTAAGAATACCGTTTTATATATTTTTGCTTTACCTGGATATTAAGTAAAGAGAAAGTATTTTTATATTATATCTTATTTTATTAGATATTAGACAGTATCTAGAGTGAGTTTTTTTTAAAAAAAAGAAGAAGAAAGAACAAAATGAAGAAAGAACTTGCCTTCATTTTTCCACTTTTTACGTCTAAATCATATAAAGTATAATCAGCTTCTCGATCTCCGTTTCTGTTGATATGAATCTCTTCCGCGATTCCTTTATAGAAAAAAGAAGAAAAGAAAAATATAAAAAAAAGAAGGGAAACCATTTTATAAGATGGCACGACATCAAAACTTTTTCGCGGCTACAAAAAAATAAAAATATATATACAAAGAAAAACCAAAACGGTTTTAAAATGTTTGAAAGAAGCTCCTTTCAGATTCGCTAGAGTTTTTTTTTATAACGAGTTTTCACACCGCAAATGTCTGTGTTACAAAGGTGTTGACAGCTGCGATCTTTGCCGCATCTGCTTCAGGTCGATAGAGAATGAGTGATAGACAGAATCAGGTGAATATACGGACAAACTGATACGATTCGACTCTATTTCTTATGAGAGAGTCAGTAATGCTCATTCACTGCCGTCTTATATTGAATTTCGATCCGAATTTTATGTAAAATTGGTCACTATTCAAATTCAAAATGTATCCCGATCTTCAGTGATGAAACAAAACTAAAACCTCCTCCTCTATCCCCTTTATCTCGAAACCCAATAAACATTATAATTTCTTGAATTAGGTAGCCTCATGTACAGTACAGTGTTGAGACGTCTTTCTTCGGGGGGGATTTTTTCAGGTGTATCCCCCGGTATCCTTATTTGTTTTTTTTAAAGTTTATTTATTGAAGTTGATATTTTTATAGCCATAATTTTTATCGTATATTATTCAATTTACCGAACACTTTCAAAAAGAATGAACGAAATATTCATGGAAACTTCGTTGTCTTTACGAACTTCGAGTAATGCAAGCTTATTATAATTCCATTATAATGTTACAACTTTAATCTAAGTTAAATCTTTTATAAAATATAATAGATCTAATTATTTGGGAGTTCCCTATATTTTGGGCGTTTCTTCTACTCCATGCCAAAAAAAATATTTCTATTCTTTCTGTTCAATTTGCATGTTAATAGATCTACAAATTTCATTCAAATATATACGACCCAAGAGTTAAAATTATCATAAATAGTTTAGAAATTACTCTTTAAAATATAGTCAAGAAATTTTTATATCACAAAACAAAAAAACACATTTATGTTTAGAATATTTGCTATATTTTTTTCGGTGAGAGGAGGGAGAAGTTTTGCATAAAATTATTATTTTACAAATCCGAAAGAATTCAGAAATTTTTAAGAATCTATTTAAATTGTTTCGGAAATATTCATATTTTTAAAATAATGTAATTAAAATAATTAAAGCGACTTGGCAAAATTCTCTATGACTTACTTGAGAAGACGATGTTTGTATTATTCGTGCAAATTTACTTGCTTGCTTTTCAACTTTTCCGAATAATGAAAAGTATCTTTCTAATTTCCTGACTTTACAAATTACATTTTGTGTTTTCTCTTTCAATGCTTTCAACATTTGCAAAATTCAAAAAAAAGTACTCTGTGAAATTCAACAAAATTATACAAAACTTTTAGAAAAATAAAATTCCTTCCATAGAAATGGCTAAAATATCCTTTTAACATTTAAGTAGATCGACTTAATTAAGATATAACCAATTCGTATTAGTATTATTAATAATGCATTTCGTCTTTTCTTCTCTTAAAAGAGAACATTAAGATTAAATATATTTGCTGTAGAAGAATTTGGTGTAATATATAAATACATAAACCAATCGAAAAATATTAGACACGGTTTCCTACCTAATTTTCTTGTATTTATCTTACTTATTTATAAGTTTGACTAGAATTATCTTAATTTACTCGAATTCATTATCTGTAATATTTCAGAATATTAATGATGCAATTAAAATTCTACTCAGCCTATTTATTTTCTTTTGTGAAAGAGTGTTATTATTATTTTTGAAAAGTAAAGTATGTTCTGTCTGCATGCACTAGTTCTTCTTCTTCTTTTTTTTTTATGATTAATCATTAACTCAAAGTCACCATGGCAACTCATTAGGCTCATTTATTTAAAAAAAAAACTTGAATTAAAGACATTAAAATGATTCCAGTTTTTATCTTTCAAATGCTGTAATTTATCTAAGCAACTAAAAAGGAGGAGTAATCAGTTTACGTGAGAAATATTATATATAGAAAATGGCAGCGCCTACAATATATTAAATCCCTAACTACAGAGTAAAAGTGTTTGCTCAGCATTATTTCATTTTAATTTACGCATCGATTTTTGTTTTTTTTTTTTAAATCGAAATTTAATTAATTTAAATTACAATGGAAATCAAATCAATTGAAACATAGTGCAGAAAGTATGGATAAAGTATTTGTTGTCCGTCTTGATTGATTTGGTTGTATTTCATCCAGGCAGAGTTAAGTCTATTTATAGCACTTTTTTGTAAAGTGATGGTTTTGATTTCACTTGGCAGTGATGGAATATTTTCTTTTTAATATATATACATATATTGAATAAATATAAATATTATATTGCATTTTTATGCATGAAATACAGCTAAATTGTTTGTTAAGTTCTCAGCAGCTAAGTGACGCCTTCTCATAACCTCAAGACCTATTGTCTCGAGTTCATCAGTTGAATATAACAAGAAACTAGTTATAAAGTTTAAAAAGTTTAAAAAGTTGGAAATGGATTAATCCATTTTATATTGTTTCTCACGAAAAAATTTGTTTTGGTTTTAGAACAAATTGGTTTTTGAACAACTTTTAGGAACGAATTAAGTTTGAAATTCAAAGTTTGACTGAAATATCATTATTGCTAACTGATTTATTATGTGACATAAATTTTGTTATATTAAACTAAATGTAAACATTAATAAAATATTAATGATCTACTTAAATATTTTTAAAACTTTAAAACTAAAAAATAAATATTCATTTTGTTTTCATTATTAAAACAAAATTTTATTAAATGTAACAACCATGAGTGTATTTTTAAAGCAGATAAAGGGGTAACCCTTTATCTGCTTTAAAAATACACTCATGGTTGTTACATTTAATAAAATTTTGTTTTAATAATGAAAACAAAATGAATATTTATTTTTTAGTTTTAAAGTTTTAAAAATATTTAAGTAGATCATTAATATTTTATTAATGTTTACATTTAGTTTAATATAACAAAATTTATGTCACATAATAAATCAGTTAGCAATAATGATATTTCAGTCAAACTTTGAATTTCAAACTTAATTCGTTCCTAAAAGTTGTTCAAAAACCAATTTGTTCTAAAACCAAAACAAATTTTTTCGTGAGAAACAATATAAAATGGATTAATCCATTTCCAACTTTTTAAACTTTTTAAACTTTATAACTAGTTTCTTGTTATATTCAACTGATGAACTCGAGACAATAGGTCTTGAGGTTATGAGAAGGCGTCACTTAGCTGCTGAGAACTTAACAAACAATTTAGCTGTATTTCATGCATAAAAATGCAATATAATATTATCTATATTTATTCAATATATGTATATATATTAAAAACAAAATATTCCATCACTGCCAAGTGAAATCAAAACCATCACTTTACAAAAAAGTGCTATAAATAGACTTAACTCTGCCTGGATGAAATACAACCAAATCAATCAAGACGGACAACAAATACTTTATCCATACTTTCTGCACTATGTTTCAATTGATTTGATTTCCATTTTAATTTAAATTAATTAAATTTAATTTTAGTTTTAGTTTCAGTTTTGGTGTAAAGGGCAGAGTTTTAATTATTATTTTTAGTTTTAATTAACTGGCTACGTAGTGTTAATAAATATTAATATTATAGCAAAAGTTTATTACTATAATTTTATGTATTTAATTTAACTTATGCATATTTAAACATGAATTCTTGGATGCCATTTATAATTGACATTCATGTAATTATGAATGTCAGTTAACATAGTTTTTATTAATTAATTTGATTTTGATTCATCTGCAGCACATGCTGAAAAATGGAAATAGTATTTTTCCCACATACACATTGAAATATAATTTAAATAGCAATGTCATCAGTGATTTGTGTCGTGACATTTAATGACATGAGGCAAATCTCTGCACCACTAACTTCTGAATTGGTAATCTTGCCTTTCATTGGTCGTGCTGTTGACTTCCTTCATCATAGGGAGTTGACCATTTGTGGCCGGCTTTTGTCAAGTAGCTTCTTTGTCAACAGATTTATTATACAGCAAGTGGGACAAATATGAATTTAAAATTTTTGTTTGTGAACCAAATTGTGATCAGAGGGTCAGCGCCTCTTTAGTGCCTAGTCAGGACAGACACCACTAAGATATGCTATCTCGGTGGTGTCTGTCCTGACTCACCACCTGTCACGCGGCTGCTCACATGATTGAATCAATATGCTATCTTGGTTTCTGTGTCAATCCTGACACAGAAGCCGAGATGGCATGTGCATGTGCACAAGGTGGGATGGAGTGAGAGACAGCATGCCGGAAGTGATTCACTCAGAGACTTGGTTAACGAAACAACCTAGTTTATTTAGGGAAAAATTTATAGAAAAATACATGGACCCCAGGGGTCTAACTGATAAAGGGGATATATAATTATATACATGCCTTAGTGAATGCTGAGAGAGATAGTTTACAAAAAGGCACATGGTGTAATGGCGGGCTTTCCATAGGCTGGAGCAACCTCATTGACCGGAGTCCGAAAGTTCAGTGAGGAGGAGACGAGATAGTCCTATGAGGTATTCGGTGGNCCATGGAATATAAAAATGGAAAAATTCCATAATCTTTAAGTAAATTGTTTTCAGTTTGATAGTAAAATGAGGACAAACTATCGAAAAACGATCATTGTTTAAGATTTAACTCAAGTAAAAGGATAAAGGAAAGAAGTATATAAAGAAAGTCTTAATCTCTGTTTCTAAATTTAGACAATATCTTTTGTTAAATCAGTATTTTATTTGACTTTTTTGATGTTTTAGCCAGAGAGTTTTTGTCGATTTTTTCGGAAAAAAAGAGTTTTTTTTCTTTTTTTAAAAAAATTAAATAAAGAAAACTTAATATATTATAAAATTTTTGATGAACTGGGTGTATATTAAATATGTAAACGAGACTTCAAATTAAATTAGAAACGAGATAAATATAAAATTTCTGACGTTTTTTTTATAATTAAATTTTGTCACATTTATCAAACTCAAATGCCAAATTATTCAGCCGGAGATTAAGTTAAAAATGTGTTTTATTATATATTAAGAAGATTTTATTGGATACGTTTTAATAAATTCTAAATTTAAGTTTCTGGGTTATTTTCCGATATTCTTTTATATATATATATTGATGGCTGAGAGAAAAGACCTACTTATTGCGTCAATTCGACTTCGACAGCAGGTTTTTATCATATTGATAGATATTCCAAGATACTTTTCAACTTCAGCTTCAATTTTTTATATATTTTTATTTGGATCTTATGTAATATTATCCAAACAATTTCATTCTTAATGGTAAATTTTATTGGAAAAAATTTTATCCTGAATTAATTATTATAATTTTTACTTTGCCGGCTGTTATATAACAAAGGAAAAATATGATAATCGGTAAAAAAAAATAACCCCACTCCCAAGATTTTTAAAATTTCGGATTCGGGGGACCTTGGAAGTCGAGAAGTGCAAAAGAGTTGGGGGGTTTCTGTATGTAAGTAATGGGCTGTAATTTTTAATCATATTTCTTTTTATTTAACTTAAAATATATATGCTCTCCACCTCAAATTAATATTGGATTGCCCCTGTAAATCATACTTTCCCTAACAGCAACAGAGTCGTGCGGGTCATCTATCTAACTCCGTTCTGTGGGGGAAATTTTTGAATTAAATAATCTTTTTATATGTCGCCTCCAGAAAAAAAAAATAAAGTAAATAAATAAATAATTTGATACATTTTAATATACTCAGTATTTTTTGTTTATATTTTAAAATTTTTGCGGAAATAATATTTATTTATTATTGCTTAGAGGAATTTTCATCTTACTTCCAACTTTCTTCTCTGAATAGGAAACTTCGTTGTCTTTACGAACTTCGAGTAATGCAAGCTTATTATAATTCCATTATAATGTTACAACTTTAATCTAAGTTAAATCTTTTATAAAATATAATAGATCTAATTATTTGGGAGTTCCCTATATTTTGGGCGTTTCTTCTACTCCATGCCAANGGGACATGATTTTGTTCACCCAATTTGAAGTTTAATAACTCCTGTGCTCCTTGTCGAAAATTTCTGAAATTGTAGAGGATAATTCATGTATTAGAGGGAATTATTTCTAGAAATTTTCAGAAAGATAGAACTATTGGTTCGGGAGATATTAAGAGGGGGACTACGGAAGATATTGTTTAGTTAAATTATGGCAACGCAACACTCGAGCGATCTGCCTAGAGGGGATGCCTTCCGGGAGGTCTTTTTAAGGTAACTGGCCCCTATTCGGACGTTATAGACGAGAAAACCCATTCCCAATATTAACGTGTTTATGAAACATTTAGTTATAGTGTTTCATAAACATAAACGTTTTCCGCCGGGAAAGTTACGCAACTCGTTGCTTGATATATATATATATATATTTTTAATATGAAACAAAACAGATTCAAATCTAACACGTGAATCATTAAACATAAATAGTTAAATTACAAACAATCATCAGAAATGCTTTTATTACCCGGCTTATCGGTTAAACGATGCGGTTTAACTCCAATTATATAATTATATGCATAATTTAATACTAACTAACGGTATTATGCTAGATTCGTCTTCCAACGTGTATACAAACTACGAACATAAATAATGTAATAACCTTTAGATCTAAAATTCATGCCACTTTATCAGATCGTTCGGCAATCAATATTATTATTAAAGAATTAAAATAAAGAGCTAATATTTGGGTATATATTACTTAAAATTAGAATAAGTTTAGAAAAGTTTTATTACCGCCATAAAAGGTTCTATTCCACATTTTTCTAATCACAGTTCGTCCATCAAAAGGATCATCTGAATCACCTAGAGTCTGATTGAGAGCAGAAGCGAAGAGGAGAACACAGTCGTGAAAATCGGCTACAATAACATTTACCTGAATAATAATAATAATAATAATGTACTTCTTTGAAGTATTAAACTTTGGGAGAGTTATTACACAATTTTTGTTTTAATACGTGAAGATTTATAAACTTGACATTCATTCCAATAAGTAATTAATTAAAATAGTAATTAATAATTATATTATTTGTTATTTATTAAATAAAAATTACATCTTCTGTTTGAAACGATGTGTTGAATTCAATTCTGGATCGTAAAACCACTTCTTCAGCAAACTTCTTATATTTTTCTGTCGTGGGAACTTTGGCAGAAACTAAGAGGAATGCTTCATAAATCTTTTTTGCATCCTGAAATAAAATAAAACTAAGAATATATTTGTTTGTTTTTTACATGAAAATGTAATATCGATAAATAAGAATTGAAGATAATGGAAGAAAATCATATTTTTTAAGTTATTCCTATAATTATTTTTATAGACATTGTAGAATGTAAATGCATTTATAACTACATAACATAAGCAACAAGTATTTTCGTTTATTTCTTTTTATAAATTGTTCTAATGGTCTTGGTTTATCGTTAACAAAATTTTCTTTTCATGTAGGAATATATATTTAATATCCAAACTACTATATATCATTCCATTTTTACGAGAATCAAATAAACATTTAGTCTTGTTTTAACCGAATTGTACAGATAAAACATTATTTTCGACAATTGCAATAGCTCGAATCTACTTATTGATGTCTATTATTTTTTTTCTACTATTTGATTTTCCTTTCATGACAATCTAATATTCTCTCCAACAATAAGTTTTCAAGGTATAAATCTCGCTCTGACCTACTTTCGAATACCTTACCATAAACTAAAATTCTCCCTTGATAAAGTTTACTCTATCCATCATATTAATGTTTTCTTTTTTCCCCCCTTCTCTCATATTCTTTCGACGATTCATTTGGTTTTCTGTTATTCCCTCGGGCCATACATTTATCTTGTTATTGGCAGAAGCTCCATTTGCAACTATTCCTATTTTATTCTTTTTTTACGGATTTAAAAAAACCTTCTTCCCCGATTTAAAATTATGGACCTGTTTCGAAATCATATTAGAAGTTTTATTTATAAGGAAATTTAAGATATTTACATTTTCTCTTGTTTATTTTCAATATAAAACGAAAAAGTAATGGTCCATTTTAATATTAGATTTTTAAGACAAAGCCCCTTTTACTTGATTTAAAGCAAAAACAGTTTAAATCGAATGCATTTCATTATAGAAGAAGTAGAAGAAGAAGAAAGTCATATATCGAGTACAATATCTGTCGTGTAATTTAAAGGATGAGTAAAAGACTAAAATAAAAAAAAAGACTTTTGATACCATTTCATCATTCCTTCTCCTCACGTTCGACATTCAACTTGAATATTCCAAAATATATTTTTTTCCCCTGTTTTCTTTACAACCTCCTTTCGTCTTTTATAGTCTATTGTGTATTCGGAGACTGTAGCATCCTCCCAATGACTATTTGGGGAAAGCCATTCCAGTTAACTTTTCGACGTTGTTAACAGTTACGAAAATCAGTATTGTTTTAATGTTGTCGTTAAAACACTTTCAGTGAAAATTTTTATCAAAATAGTTTCTTAAAGTGATTAAAGTATTAGAGAAAAAATCGATTTTTAAACGTATACTTACCTCGTTTCTAGAGTCTCCTTCCCTATACCAAGAAAAGTCTCCAAAGGCCGGTTTGTTCTTAAAAAATTCTACACTAATGAAGACGTAATCTCCATTTCCCATTTCTAAATCGAAAGCACTTAATAAAAAACTTCTTACTGTATCTCCATTTGATATCAGGAAAAATACTAAATTAAAAAAAAAAATACATATATATATATATATATAATGTTTATATATTACGTATCTATCGATAAGTTATATGTCTACTCACGGATATAAACGATTCATCAAATACGAGTATGAAAAATTACAATTCAGATTTTTCGATTACCTGTGCAGACTTCATCAAATTCAGAAAGCAAAAATTAAGTTTTTCAGATTAAACTTGTTTTTATGTAAATAAACTTTAGCCTACATTAAATACAACAATTTCCTTTCCTTCAATTTTTATTAGAAAATTTGCATTAAAATAAAAGAAATTTTAAGTCACTACAGTACATTTGGATAACAAAACTTTCAAAATAATAATAAAAAAAAAAAAAAACTGTCTCCACTTTATGATTTCTTGCAAATATAAAATAATATAAATCTGAATGTATTCTTCTTATTCTCTGTGGATTAAAATGAGACATCCACAATATAATTAATTACTATAGTTTTATATATTGTAATATAGTATTAAGTCATAAAATATTTTCAATTATGTTCCATAAAAAATTTTAATTATTTGAAATTAAATTAAAAACTAAGTAAAAAAAAAGTCACGTTTCTTTCAGAGAAAACACCCCCAACCGATTTGATTCTTAAGAGTGGAACCATTAAAGAAAAAAGGTCGTATATATCAAATATATTTGGCAATAAAGTAACGTAATTAATACTATCGAACCACAAATAGTCTTCTACATACAAAACAATATATATCGTAAAAGTAGACAATAAAAAGAACTAACTGCCTACCGAATAACAATTTTTTTTTTTGAATGTATACTTACTTCTTGCTTCTTTGCTCGCTGCTTTTAGTATATTAGTAAAATTTTTTCTTCGTTTAGAGAGAGAAAATTCGTGTAAATCCACGTAGACATCATAAGCTTTGTCGTTTTCGAAAGTATACATCAAACTCTGTTTAATTAATCGACACCAATTAACTGCTTCCTCTACGATGAGTGCCACGTGGTGCCATTCAAATCTTTTCAAAATTTGCAATATAAATATGCTCATTCCTTTTGCAGAGAAAGAAAGTCTGGTTAAAGTAGAGAATACTTCTTTGTTTGAAAAATTATCATCGATGCTACCGGCGGTGTAGAGAGGAACATTCCAATAAGAAGCCATTCTAGCAACCGGATCCAGAGCCAAAGTACAAGCCGGGCCCATAAAAGCATTCACCGAATTTAAATAATATTCTTCGGCCGCGTATACCCCAGCATAATTTTGTACGCATCTAGAAGAACTATTCCGATATCTGGCTTTCCAAATGATGTTAGGATATATCTGACTTACTTTTTCCACTGCTATAGATATAGCGGGTTGAACTAATTCCAAGGTATATGGTAGATCGGAATCGGCTACAAATAAGCTAACGATATGAGCAGTGAATGGAAAAGATTTAGTACTAGAAACGTAAAAAAGTATAGCGAAGGCAGAACAGATCAAGAACATCCTGTGATCGAGCTTCTTTCGATGACTGGAGGTTTCCTTCTTCTCTATCTTTCTATCAATGCTTCCGGGACATTTGCAATAAAGTGAACGACAAGAAAGACTAGATGTTGACTGATGGGAAAACCTACTCAATGGAAGTATAGACAAGCTTTTTCTCCTACTTAAATGTTGTCTTATGAAACATAATTTTATATTAAACGATAAGAACTACTAGAAAAATCATATTGTTTAATTTAAGCGTCAAGATTTATCGTGTTCTATTGTTTCTAAAATTTTTACTTTTTTTTTTCTATAAACTCGCATAATTGCATGTTAGATGTAGCAGGTGATTCTTAGTCAGTGATAGATCGTGCACTTCCTTTGTCTGCTCCGATAGTGGTCATTTTAGGCGATTTTATCGATCGATATACAAATCATTTTGACAGCAGCCGGATGCGAAATGAACTGTTATCGACAGGCATCTTCCTCTTCACCTCACTGAACTATTAAATATGACACGAAATTTATAAAATTTAATACCTTTAAATTGAAAGCATTAAAAATTTTTAAAATATTAAAAGTTTTCTTCGGTTTTGTACGGTCATCTTCGTCAAACACATTTTTCTCGACAACAAAGAAAAATGATGTACTAATGTCGTATAGAAAATAATATCTGTAGATAAATACATTCTGTCCGATTTTATAACATTTTCAATGAAAATCTGTTTGTCTTCTAGTGTTTTGTTTCTTTACCTTTTTCAAAGAAACATTCCCTTGTCAATATAAGATATTATGTTGTATTATCACGCAACTTTCATAGATTTTGTAGTTTATGGCATTATTAGTCAGTGGTTGTTCTTCTATTTTTCACTTTAAATTAGAAATCTTCGTCCAGTTTGATTTTATTATTAAATATTCTCATAAAACTGATTCTTGGCATTTATAACTTCATTTTTTTTTCTTCTATAAAATTACATTTATGTTTAGAATTTAACAATTCCCTTTATAAATTATCATTGATTCATGTCGAAAAAAAGATACATATATTCTCTATCTTTAATCCTTCATACTAAAGATCTTAATTCATCGTTTTACTTTTTCTCCAATATAATTTTCAGGACATCATTTTTCAATTTACTCATTCACTTTTTCTCCAATTTTACGACGGATAAAACTTTATCTAATTACGCGATATGATTTGATATCAGACACGATTATGATCATTAAAGGAGGAAAAAAAAATATGGTAATAACTTCGATTGATAAAAACAGTGTTAAGTTATTAAAATAGTTTTTAAATTTAAGTCAGAATCATAAAAATAAACGTTATGGAGTAAAAATGATACTGTGCTATTTTTTTTTTTAAAGCACTTTCTGTTGATAATTTAGTAATTCAACAATTTTGTTTCGTGAATTATTAAATTTGGCTAATATACAGTTAAAATTTATGATCTGGAGTCAGTAATAAGTAAATGAACAACTTATTATTACTTTTTTTAAAAATAGATTTGTTTATTGGTTAATTTAAATTTAAATTAACCAATAAACAAATCTATTTTTAAAAAATGTTTAATTTTTTGAAATCAATAAATTTTGGAAAATTAAAGTAAAATTTAAATAAAAATTTAAGAAGTTAAATGGATTTTTTTTCCTATAAGGATACGTAGCTTTAGAATTAAGACAACAAGAAGCAATAATGAGAAAAATTATAGGCCTATCGAATCACGCTGTTAAAGTCAATTTGACTGGAGTCAATTTAGAGAAGTGTAAAGCTTTATTTTACGGTGAAATTAAGATATTTTTTTTCTTAATGAATAAATCTATGCTACAATATAAAATACGCGATGTTATTATTCACAATAGGAACCATATACTGCCTATCATAAATTGACTAGAACCGCATCCTCTTGGAGTGTCCATTGAAGAGCCACATCATCTATTTATTTTATATATAGTTAAATTACTATAGTTATTATTATTTTATGATAAATATCATTGTTACTTTACGACACACTAACAATACGCTCATTTAACTCTTTACACTTTATGAACGTACCCAAGCTTTCAGGCTTTCAGTTGCCTATTCGAGATTGAGTTGAGAGTAACACTTACATTCTCTGTGTATATTATACTACTTAATAGAAGACTTACAGAAATATTAAACACGTATAAGTAGTATGAACCAAGTTGTATAAGTATACAGGAGCCGCAATAAGGGTCTAAAAGTACTCGCGAGCCCCAGTTTGGGGAACGTAATTATATATTATAATACAGTAAGCAACTTCAATTAAAAATACATCATAAACTACTCTACTATTTTATAATATAAGCTTTTATATACAGTGAGTGCATTGTAATATGCCATTCGTCTTTTGAATCATATACTTTATATATAAGGTATGTAAGATAATATGTATTGTATATTCAACTCAACTGAATATTTCTATATAAAATTACCTGAATTTTTTTATTTTTATCACTTTTAAAGCTCGATATATTCATAAAAAAACTTAAGTTTACTGTAAAAATTTTATATTTATTCATCATTCGATAATTGGATAAAAATGAAAAAAAGTCTACTTATTCTGTTCATAATCCCTTAATTTTTAACGTGGGACTAAAAAATTCATTGTTTTTTTTTACTATTGTCAAAAATAAAAAGTATTATATTTTAAATTTGAGTATGTTTTCTACAAATCAAAATCTCCTTTAAGAGATGAAGACTCCGAAAACTTTAAATCCTTAAATTCCTTTACTTTGTTCTGCATTATATTTTATTTGTATGTTTTTATTCGTTTCAATTTTAGATAAATGGGAAATATTCAACCCTTAAACTTTCCTGTTAATTAAATATTCATAAAATTTAATTCAAAAATTTCCCCCAAAACAGAGTTAGGTAGCTGACCGGCATGACTACGTTGTTATCAGGAAAAGTATGATTTACAGGGGCAAGACACTACTCATTTGAGATGGAGAGCATNAAAGATTCCATTCCGTTTTCACGAGATAAATCAGAATATGACAAGTGATAATAAATATAAAAATCCGTCTTAGAACTATATCAATAGATCCTATGATAAAATAATTAAAAATTTAACAGTAAAAATATATCATCATAACACGTAGTAAAGGAGCAATATTTTAATTTAATTTAATTCGATAAAAATTTTCAAATGCGGATATTTAATCGAATAAAAATAGAAAGATATTAAAACGAAAAGATGTCAAATTTTTTTAACATTAATGTAATTTGGTCAAAACTCAAAGAAACTTTTTCTTATTTGGTCTTAGTCAACAACAGATGACAGTATATGTTCTCTTCAATTTTTTATTTTTAAAATTTTTATCATTCGTCTTTTAAATTATCTAATACACTGAATTTTTTAGAAATGTTTTCGAAGTATAAAGCTATAATTTTCTTGTTTATTAAGAAGAAAAAAATAATAATAATTTATTTCTTTGATTATCGTAAAAGCCAGTCAATTAAGCCAAATTGTTCGAGTATCATTCGTGACGGATTAAAACGGGTTCGACGAATAATTCTACTCTTTTTATTATCAATTTTTAATTCAATTTTCCTTCTCATTGTTAAATAATCTATCAAATTTTGGCATATCTTTTATAATATCTTTTCTTTTTTTATTTGGAAGAATTACTAATATTTTTAATCGTCTTTAGTGTACAGAATATGGTTGAATTTCACTGACAAACGATGTTAAGTCGATCCATCGAACGATGACAGTTGTTTTGATTGTTCTTTTTAAGCATCAATCATTTTTCTTTATGAGCAAATATACTTCAGAAAAGAATTTAATCTTCCAAAATCTCAAATAAAGATTTATCTTAAGTAATCACAAATTTAAAAAAACAAAAAAAAAACAATTTTAAATATTGTTTAATTATCATTATAACCTTATCACTAAATTTAAATAAAGGAATTATTTTAAAAATCGATTCTTAATGCTAATTCTTTGATTTATTTTGAGTATTAAATCCTCTTCACTTAAATACACAGCGAAACAGATATTTTTCTTAAGTGAAGATTTGAAAAAGTAGATTAGAAAAGAAAATCTTTTCTTCTTGATTTTGTATTCCTCAATTTTAAATTTTATGGAACATTTCCAGTTTCAACAATCTTCCTCAAAGAAAATAAAGAAGAAAACTCGCAATAAATTTTTACTTCGGTCTTAATCAATGCCGTTATATGAGGATAAAATACTTTTAAATTTAAATGATAAATTATCTTAAAATTCCCAACTTTCTAAGAATCTCATAAGACTAATTCTAAATTTCAACGTATTTTAATGGGCAAAAAAAGATGCTATTTTTCATTTGGTAACGGCATTCTTTATTACATTTTCGGCTTCCTAAATTTTAAATATGTCAACTGTTGAGAGCTTTTTCTTCTTCAACCCCCCACTGTACTGTACTTCTGTTTGTATATTCGATTTTGATTGTAATAATTTCCCATTCAAAATGCGATGATCGTTGATGGTTTGCTGGATGTTGAAATAGAAAACAGCATTTTGGAATGTATCTAAAAATGAATATCGCATGGAATTATTAGATAGAAGAAGCATATGGAGTAGAAAATGAAATTGAAATATTCTGCACACCTTCAATTTCCACTTACATTCCCTCCTGTAAATATTATTTGAGAAAATCGTTACATTTCCCTTTTGGCAAAAATATTTTACGAAAATTTCTGGAATCTACAAATATAAAATTTTACAAATATCTTCTCCATCTAAAATTAAAGGTTTTAAATATATTTCAATCCCTCCGTGTTATTAACAAAATAATAATAATGTCTATAATTTAATCGTGTTTAATATAAAAAAAATAATAATAATGGATTCAAACTGTCATCTCACAATATATTTGCTTATTATTATAAAACTTTTTAAATGATTTTTATTGTTAATTAAAATTTACTGGAATTTAACTTAATTAAATTCTAAATTTTTCGATTTACTTCGGAAAGATTTCTAAAAAAAAAAAAAAAAAA